TTTTTATATAAATTTATAATAAAAATGTATAATAAATTCATCCTGAAAACATAAGCCAAAAAAGTTTTAAAAAATCAAAAGAAAAAGGATAAGATACGCAATCTCTTAGCTTTAGGCTTTTTCCATCGAATTTCTTTATTTTGGTTTTGTTCTTGGTCATGAATTTCTTGATTTCGTACCTATCAAATTTCTTCAACTTGGTGTGTTCCTTTCGCATTCACTCTTATGTCTTATTGTCTTCTTTTGCTTTTTAGAAGGAAAGGTAATAAAGAAGAATCCCCTGCTTTTCATAAAAAATTTCATTGCGTTTCGACTTTCAACTTTCAACATATATTTTAAATGCACAAAGAAAAAATTAAAAAAATTATTTGTACTGAAAATATCATCACCGTCCAATGTGGAAGACCAAGAAGCAAAGCATTATGTCAACAGTCTTTTAACTTTTCTCCAATCTGACCTTTATATTAATTATTTCAAGTATGATAGTCGCAATGATCCAAGAGAAAAGAGCTCTCTGGCGCAGTTACTCGAAAAATAATAAGAAAATATTTCAACAAGGATTAGAAAAGTTGTAAACAGTAAAAGCACATTTTCAAAAAGTATAAGTTAAAAATTTGATTGCCAGTTTATTTGTTCCTTTCTGAAAAAAAAAATTCTGCAAAAACTGAAATTAGACTAATAAATGCAATTTTTTAGAGGCAAAACTTTAGCTACTAAATATATTTTAAATTTTTTACTAAGCCTTTAAATTTTTATTAAAACAAATAATCTCATGAACTTATCAATTTAAATAATTTAACTTTTTTTTTATGATAAACTTAACCTTTATTTATATTTTATGTATGTAAATTAAATAAATACTCATCATATAGGACAATGACATGTCAATTATTTATTGTGACCTCCCTCAAAGGCTTAAAATGTTGGCTTGATGGTAGGCCACCAGGTATGCTTGTGTGTTTTGGCGGCCTATTGAGACACAAAAGCCTGTGTTTCAGATTTTGGTCTTATGGACCAACCACCTGGAGTGCTGGGCTTCCAGAAAGTGGCCCCAAATACTGTCCTACACTATTTTACACTGTCCCCTGGCCCATGGGCATTGAAGTTTCTAGTCCTCCTGGCCCTTAACTTCTTCACCAATGATTTTGTCCAGTTCATGGGCCTCAACAGGGACCAAATCAATTATACCTAAACTCAAACACGTCACCAGTAAAGACCAAAAAAATGGTTGTAGTAGGAACCGCACTTTCGAGTTCAAGTGGTTTGATCTCAAGTTATAAGATCTTTAGGTTAGTTGGTTGAAGTTTAGAATCTCAACAGCGTCTTCCTTCTCCCAATTTCCCAAATTACAAACTACTCAAAAATATATATATATGGTTGTAGTTGTGGTTGAGAGATTTTTCTTATAATTATATAGTATTTTTAGATAATTGTATATTTGATAATTTTTTTAAATTATTTTTTTTAAGTTACAAAAAATTATAATAGATTTATAATAATTTTATATATAAAGTCAGAAATCT